GTCACTTAATCATTTATGAATCTGCATATTCAGTGGGCTTTATTTTAACCGATCCATTAGTTTACAATACTCAAATTTGAGAAACACTTCAGATGTGGAAGTGTTCTGATTTCAAATCGTTTCTTGTGATTCTATTAAGCCAGACAGGTGCGGAATTCTGACATGCTTACTATGCATATGCATGACATCATTTGTAGCCTGTTGGTAGTGTTCATTGCATCATAATTTCATTTTATTCATTTCTGATCACCAAAGGATACATTCCAGTTAACGTTTGCCCTGCAAGCTAGCGCTGGGGGAGCTGCTCGCTTGGTCGTTGTTTTCAAAAGTCTTCTCTGTGGCGTAACGCGTCACATTATGTTATCACCTATCATATTTTAAGTGCTTTTTCATGCCCATGCTTAACAGGTGCACTTTATCAAAGTTCTTCTTTTTTACATTTCTGACCATATTTCAGAGGGAGGAGGACCAAGTCCACAGTCTGTTATTGGTATTGTTAAATTGTACAGATAAATGTATAATATTTTTGACCACTACAACTGTTTTGTACTTAATGCAGGTTGTGCTTTTGTCTATGTGACAAACCTACAATTTGGCCTCTGTTTAATCTTTCTGCACATTGTATGGTATCTGTATGCTCAGATATTTAGCCTGTCGCCACCTCTACTATCCTTTTCAAGAAAGGGAGGACAACTTTACATAAAGGACGATTGAAAAAAAATCTATAAAATTGTCTTTTATTGAACAATCTTGATTTTATGGCACAAGTAATATACTTGGCCACAAACTGCAATGAAATTAATTCAATTAGAAACATAACTACATAAATAACAAGCAGCATCAGGTATTTGGAATGTGCCAGCGACAATAAACCCATCAAAAACATTTCTATGAAAAATGTGTCAAATGAAATACAGTGGCTCTTATAGTGTGATGAATACTTGTAGCTCAGTCTTTAGTGATACGACAGGACTCTGCATGAGGAGGACAGTCTTTGTACTCTCTGAGGTTTCGGTTCTCAGTGTGAACAGGATCTGACAGTCGGATGCACACACAACGGGAGTGGCCAGACCCAGGGGAGAAAAGCATTCTGGGTACTCCAACCCAGTCCCTGTGAATGCCACCACTACAAAAAAAATGTAAAGTTGTTACATTTTTTAGGAACCTTATCAAACGTTGGCCAAAGCATTAATAAAGAATGAGAATGTGACGTAACGCCGCGTTGAGTTCTGGGAAACTGCTTTGTTTATCCGCCATACTAGGAGGATTGCACTGCCTTTCCGTTATTGAGTTTAGGGCAGTATTCAGTCCAGATTCTGAAGTGCTCATCGATGGACACTTTTCAATCCCAGGAGGCCACGCAAGAGGATACGTCATCATGAAACATGATGGAGAACAGCCACGAGGGTGTTTACAAATGTGAGTTTTGCAAACCAAAAACACGGTTCCTTGAATTAAAATTGCATTTGTTGAACTACTGTATTGTAAACTGGAAGCTAGACCCATAGAATTTACAAATGGCCGCGCCCATTTCTACGGCAAGAAAAAGGTGGATAGATTAAAAAGGTCAAAAAATTACCTCATTGTAGAGCACCATACCCGTCCCCCACTGGCTTCGCTCCACTCCGAGTTACAGGCCGGGTACAGCTGCATCTCACTCTGAGCCTGGGCCTTTTTCTTCAACCCCTCAGACAAGAAAGCCTCGACATGTAACAAAGCATCAGTGGGCTGCCCCGTTTCTGTGTAGAATCGGCCTACCAGTTTACCTGCAGCACAAGGGCCAAACAGACAGACACCTTAAAGGGACAGGTCACCTTGAAATGAAAAATCTTGTCATGATTTGCATTAAAATATAATTATACATTTTTATTTTTTAATAATAATATTTACATGCATAAAGACAATATACAAAATATTCTAAGAAGGTTACAATAAACTAAAGTGCATTTATTGCAATTATTACACCATGGAAGAGTCTTACAGGCTATTTAGGTTCTTTAAATAATTCAAATATATCGACACCTTTACTAAAAATAAAATGTATTTTCTTTCAAATTTGTTTATGAATATAAAATTTCTGAAAGAAATAGTAATAAAATGGTCATCGAGCGTCATTTGGTACCCACCTACTGGAGTGTAGTCCTTCTGATAAAATGACAGCCAGTCATAAAGAGCCACAATCTGGGAGTCTGTGAAATCCGAGACATCGCTAGTTAAACCAGCCTCTGTGAAATCGCCTGTAATAAATGCTTTTGATGCGTCTTTCCCTGCACAAACAACACACAGATTTCAGCAATCTCTATGCGTTCGCATCACTCAGTGGCCTGTAAATTGCATAGTGAACTAACCTGTAAAGAAATGATAACCGCCGCCAGGGCCGTAATGTTTCCGCCCCTTTTCAACGTCAAACACCTGTCCTAAGATCGCCAGGTACAATCCTTTACTGTTCTCTTCTCCGTTGTATAAAGACAGCTCATCTTCGGTCAGCATGCGCCCCGGAGCAGATGCTGGCACGTCACTGGCCTGCTGCCGCAGCCACAGCTCCAGCACATTCACAACACTGCCATAGATCGGGAATGAGAGCCACTCCGGCACCGTCCATACGGCCAGGACCATTGAAATAAGTGCTACTAAATATTTCAGCATTGTGCATACAGTGTATAATGACGAGGACGAAATGTCAAGCAGTCAGCATTTAAAATAAGAAGCATTCCGTACCGCACAACACATCGGTATATCACCTCATCATGTTTCCGGGTATGTGACTGCGCATGCGCAAATCTATTGAGAAAATTACGTTTTTTTATATTTATAGCTGAAAGTTGTTGTTTTTTTTGATTCAGTGAACATTAATCAACACTAACAACCGAAAGAAAAAAAATGAGTTAAAATGAGTTAAAATGTACACGCAGACAAATTTACAAATAAAGTAGGCCTACACATGTTTTTATACAGTCTATGGCCTACACACTACACAGAATTCAAATAAATATGATTTGTGATGGTGATGGTGGCCTTCTAATTAAAAGAGTCTCTAAACAGTCAAAGTATAGCCTGGTTACTCTCAGAATAAGACTATGAAATTCTATTAGTAAATGCATGAGATTTTGTATGATAAATCTTAAAATATTTCACTGAATATACTGACATTTCAAGTGTTTGAAATAGTTTTTTTTTAACGTTCAGTACCACAAGAACAAGATGTATACATAGTCACATTATTAACAACAAAAATGGCCAACATTTCAGTGCTATTTAAAATATTACTTGTTTACAGTTTTTAGTTTATTTATTTGTTTGCTTGTTTTCAGTTTACATGTATTTCTAAGTTATAAGAGGCAAGAAATTTGGTTTTCAAAAAGTCCATTCTTTTTATGTGGTATTTTTCTAATAAAATAAGCAATTGTAATATTGTCATTGTATTATTCTTCATATTCCAAAATGTGATTCTGGAAAAAAAATAATTAATAAATAAATAAATCACATCAAATACACAAATCAGACACACCCGTTTTCTCTTAATATATTTATATAAATATTTCCCAAAAAATCTTAAATACAATCTAAATTCAAGTATAAAACAAATGCCTTTTCCAGTCAACAGAATTGACACGCATATGAAATGTTCAGCTTTCCAAAACATGCATAATAAATCCTGTAGTATTTTGTTGGATACTCCTTTAACTTTGTTATTAAAACAACATTTGTTTAGCAATTTTTGATATTAAGAATTAGCTTTCCAGGTTACCTACAAATTGACATAATCACTGAACATCAGCTTCAAATATGAGCATTTATTTATTAAAAAATGACAAAAAATATAATTCAAAAGAATGATTTGCTGGTATAGACAAGGCATTATTTTTATTCATGATTTATTAGATGATAATGGCTTTTTCCTATCTTATAATGATTTCATTAACAAATACAGAGTTAGGATTACAATAGGTTATAATAAGGTATGCAATGCTATACCCACTGGATTGTTAAGAATAATCCAAAGCAGTTTTTCTAATCTTTTATCTAGACCTGTAGTTTCTCTTCCCTCTTTGAAAATATGTAACCTTTTAGACGGTAAGTGTAATAACAAACTTATTTACAAAGAACTTAAACGTATTATCACTGGTGATTATCAGTGTTATTTTCTGGGAGATGTTGAAACCTCAGTAAAGGACCAAGCTTTTACCCGTTATATGGCATACCCAGTTGCTCCAAAGGTCAAGGAGACTCATTACAAAATTATGTTTAGGATTTACCCAGTTAGTGACTTTATACACAAACTATTTCATTTCGAGGTGGATCCTTGTGGTTTCTGTTCTTCTTTTCCTGAAACACTTGATCACCTTTTCTTTTACTGTGAGGCTACTTCTAAGTTTTGGTTCGATATACATAGCTGGTTGTCAGTAAAAATGGAGACAATTCCTCCTATAACCCAAGATGTCCTCTTTTTTTAAGTGTGATTTAAATTCATCCTTCTCTGATTTTGTAAATTTTGTTTCGTTAATGGGTAAATATCATATCCATACTTGTAAATGGAAAAAATGTACGCCCTCCTTCAATATATTTTTATGTGAGTTTGCTAAAATGTTTCAGAGCTTCAAATGCTTCAAAAAACATAATAGAAAATCTGAAAAGTTATGCTTCTCTTTGTCAAAATATTTATTACTTTAGTATCTTTTTTTCTTTATGATGTCTACATCGACTACATCTTTGTTTTCATCCTTGCTTCTTGTGTTTATTTATGTTTATTTATTTATTTTTTCTTCTTCTCCTTCTTTTGTTTTTAATTGGCGGTTGGCAAACAGTTTTCGGGTGCATTACTGCCACCCACTGATCTGGAGTGTGGACTAAGGATCTAAATCACTACACAACACAACAAAAGTAAAAAATAAAAAATAAATATATATATATAAATATAAATAAATAAATCAACCTTTAAACAAAAAATCAATAAACTTATATTTCTCAAATTCTATTTATTAGTCTTGTTGAGTCTTACAATGTTGGTTGTTCCCTGTCTTGTTATGTACATTAAGCAAAAAAAAAAAAAAAAACTTGAGTGACGCATGACGTTGTTCGGGACTAGATGGCGCAGAAACAGC